GAAAGAAAGAAAGAAAGAAAGAAAGTAAGAAAGAAAAGGAACGAACACTATGGGCATGATTAATGGGTGGACCGTCCACAGCTGCTTCAGCTGTCGTGTTAAAAGAAAAAGCTGTTGCCGTTCGTTCGTTCGTTCGTTCGTTCGTTCGTTCGTTCGTTCGTTCGTTCGTTCGTTCGTTCGTTCGTTCGTTCGTTCGTTCGTTCGTTCGTTCGCTCGTTCGCTCGTTCGCTCGCTCGTTCGTTCGTTCATTCATCGTTGCGGTGCTGTTTATAAGTGCTTGTGTCCCGAGAGGCAGTTTCAAATATAAACACTGACTAAACAAGAATGACAGGATTATTTAATCTGCTTCAGAACCGACATGCTAACATGTAGCATCGTGATTGTTTAAAAAAAAAATTGGACATCAAGACCTGTTGAGTTGGCTCATGAGAGGTCGAGCAGCTAAAGCCTTCATCTCCCAGAATGCAGTGCGGTTCGTATTTTCTATTAATGTTAATAAATATGGTTGTTTAGTGGCTCAGTCCTGGTTTGATGTTGGTTCTGATCGCTGCAGGTTTTGATAACGAGTAACAACCCTGAGCAGGTGATGCAGTGTTGATGCTGTAAAATACCTGGAGGTACTGGAGCTGCTGCTGCTGCTGCTGCAGTGCTGCTTGTTGTTGTTGTTGATGCTGCAGCTGCTGGAGGCGCAGGTCGCCTGGTTGTAGCTGCTGCAGGACGCGGTGCTGCTGGCTGCCAGGCTGGGCCTGGACGGACGGCTGACCCGATCCAGGAGTGGGAGCTGAAGGAAAAACAGGTTCATCAGATTGATTTGGGTGGTTTATGTCGAAGCATCGGTGTTTTCTACAAACCAACACCAACCTTTCTGTCCGTTGCTGACGGGCGCAGAAGGCACGGTCATTTTGACAGGAGTGTTGGTGAAAGGCAGGACGTTGCTGATCGCAGCCTTTGGTCTCTGTCGGGGAGCGATCGACGTTTCAGTTGGACCCACGGATTCTGTTATCCTGACGAAACCAAGGAGAAACATTTGAGCAGCGGTATTTAATATTTACTAGCTGTAATCATTTGTTTCTTCTTTACAGTGGTGCCTGGAGAAAATGTTTTCAGGGGGGCCACTAAAAACCAGGGGTGGCACACCAAAACTAACCAGGGTCCCTGCAGATCCTTAAAAAGCATTAAAAGTCATTGAATTCATCAGGCCAAAAAATTAGGCCTTAATTAGCCTTAAAATGTCTTAAATCAATCTTTTAGAGGTCTTAAAAACACTTTGTAGCTAAATAGGACGATTGTAATTCATCTTAAATTTTAAAATAATTGGTAACATTTATTTAGTTATTAAAAATAATTTACTGAATAAATTATTTAATTATTTTGTTAAAGTGAACAAAATTTTGTTTTGGTAAAGTAAACATTTGGGTTAAATTGTCGCTAAGTTTTTTCTTGTCCTGATGCATCTCATCTTAATCCCTTCTTTTCATATTTTTTTTTGTGAATTTAGTCTTAAAATAAAATTCAAGTGGCATTAAAGAGGTCTTAAAAAGTGTTAAATTTAACTTGTTTTAAGCTGCAGGAACCCTGCTAATATCTATAAAGTGGTTGTAAAAATGACATTTTAAAAACTATGGCAGTGTAAAGCTATGGATTTGCCAACAGATGTTCAATTTGTAATTTTAGGGATAATATTACTGATTTTGTGACGTTCAGAGATAAAAAAACAACAAACTATCTGCACTTCAGCAACAGTCCAGCTCTAACTTGTCCTGTATCTTTACACATGAAGTACCGTGTTCTTACATTCTTACACATTTCAGTGGCATCAGAAGTATTTGTAATGTTGGAGGGAGCCTGAAATGTTAACAGGTTGTTAAACAGACTTTTACCTACATAGTAAAACACTTGATGTACGTATAAATCAAGTGGAATAAAATTGTCAATAGAAACACTGAGTGAAGTAATATTTTATGGTAAACGTTGGGGTTCAAATGAATTCAATTTTAAATGTGATGGGGAAACTTCCCTTCAAAGATGGCCGCCTGTCCTGAGCCTGGTGCTGCTGGAGGTTTCTTCCTGATTAGCAGGGAGTTTTTCCTCTCCACCGTTTGCTCAGGATGGGAGACTGTGATGAAGTGATTCAACACAATCTGCTGCTTTCTTCTTTACATTGTTCTTTTTATGTACAGTGTCCTGAGACAACGTACGTTGTGACTTGGTGCTATATAAATAAAGTGAACTTGAACTTGAAAAATGATTGTCATTTGATTTAAAAATGTCAAAATACATATTTTAAAGACATTTTCAAGGAACAAACTTTTTAAATTTTAAAGCCATCACCTCTATGTTTGTTAAAAGTTTTATTTGCTTGTTTATTTTCGTAAAGAAAACCTAATTATAAAAACCAAAACTGTAAATAAAGACTAAAACAAGCACAATTACAAACTACACCTACTGTAGTGTTATCAAAAACTATTAAGTTATTTGCTTTTTTATGTCATATAATAAATATGATTTTGGTCTGAGAGAAAACTAAAGTACCTGGAGAAAACCCACACCTGCACAGGGAGAACATGAAAACACAACCCAGAAAGTTGATCTAGAAATCTTCTTCCTTAGACGCAACATGTTGCTCTACCAACTGTGCCACTGTACTGACTAATTTTGTATTTATTATATAATTATTTAAATTTTTAACTATATATTTAATTTAAATATATCTATGAACCTCCATCTTTATTTGAGAACATTGGTTTTAGACTGGTTGTCCTTATTCAGAGGAGCTACAATTTATTTTTTAATTATTGCTTTTTTAACTCTTACTTAAAAAAATCAATGTTTGTTTTTATATTTATGAGGTTCTATCCCTCAACAGGCAGGGGGATTGAAAAAGGAGAAACCTGGGTACTCAGAGGATAAAACCGGCCCACTGCTTCTGTACTCTTTAGTTTTCCTCCTGACCAGCAGAACCTCACCTGGCTTTTGTCATGCTTTTCTTAGCGGCGACCTCGCTCGCTGTTAGAGGTTCAGGAAGCGACGTGGGGATGGGAGAGCTCTGGAACAGAGACGACGCACGGATCAGAACCAGCAAAGAGATGTAAAGGTTTGGGCTGAGCGCTCCGGCCACTTACAGTGAGGTTTGGTACGGGACAGTCTCTTCCTGCTAACCTGAAGGCAAAGTAGGACACCTGGTAAATGTCCGGTCTCTTCTCCTGGTCCGGCTCGAGCATGTATCCTGAAAGACACGCAGAACCAGAGGATCTGAATTAATGAGCACGCAGCGTCTCCGTTTGGCCACAGGAGGGAGCTGTTGGTCAACACTTTTAAAAGAGGGGAAGTTGATCCTGTTTAGGGAAGTGAGATAAATTTAAAAAGCAGAGGCCGACAGCTCGACCGGTTTGAACAGGCTGGAGTCGAGAAAAATATCTGCAAAAACTGTTTGTGCAACTGCAGCAGCTTTAACCCAGAACCAAGTTTAAAACAACGTTCAGCAGACTCACTGATCAAGCAGTGCAACTTGAGGGAGAATTTGGAGTTGTCCGGAACGATGAAGCTTCCGTCACATATGGCGACTTGACTCTCCCCGAACGGAAGCGTGAAGAAACACAGCTTGTACAACAAGCATCCAAGTGCCTGCGAAGAAAACACAACGTTAGAAACTGAGCAGCGTTTTATACGATCGTCACGTGAGACAGTGCTGCTTCGTAAACTAAACACTTTCATTTCTATAAAATCTAACATTTATTTCCCACACTGAAGCTCATTTTTGTTTCAGAAAACTTAAAACTGTTGTGGAGGAATGTGTTCCTGAACTCAACACTTATTCTAACTTCACCAGCTCCTCTTTCCTCCTCCTCTGCGTCTCAAAGCAGCTGAAAAACTTCATTTTAGTCATTTTCTCTGCGAGTTAGCAAAGTTTTTCTTTCCAGCTGATAAATCTTTTTTTTTAATGCTGCGTTCACACCGAACGCGATTTCAGCTTCAAAATCGCAGCCAACGCTTCAAGTTTGAAGCTTGTGCACTTTGAGGTCAGACGCAGGTCAGCTCTTGAAGCGCTGCACGGCAAGAGCCTCCCCGCCCCTCCCTCCTCTCTGTTTAATGTTGGATGAGGAAGTGGCTTTGCTTTATTTACAGAGAGCAAGAGCATGTCACGCTCATCAGATAATTAATTCATAATTAATTCACCAGATAATTCAGAGTAGAGGCTCACAGCTGCTTTCAGGACTATTTTTGTCCCGAGTCCAGTCTGATGAGCCGCTGCCATGCATTGGTGCGGATATCTCCTGTCAGGACACCGACTGCAGGCACTCGATTTCAGCTATAGAGCTCCTCTCCATCTGTTTCAGGTTAGTGGACATCATTCAGTAAACTGTCCCGTCAGGAAATATGTCACTACGTCACACAGTGGAGTCTCTCTGATTGGTTGACGCGGCGCGTCGAGCTGCAAAAGTTCAGATTTTCTAACTTCAGCGATTTGCGCCTCAGCGCGTCGAACGCTCAGATCGTTCAAATCGTTCAAATCGCGCTGCTCTAAATGCGCTTGACGGGCCGCAGCTCTTCCCGACGCTGATTGAAGTGCGTCCACCACAGACTTTGTATGTAAACCTGCTGCTCCTGACGCTGAAATCACGTTTGGTGTGAACGCAGCATAATTCTTTTATTTAAAACAGGGACAATGTGCAAATAAAACATTAAAAAGACGCTTTGCACCAGATTTAGCTTACGCTAATTTCCATCTGTAGTCCCTGAACAACAAAATACAATCTAAAATCAAGACAAAGAACAACAATCCTTAACATCTGTAGACACAATTACTGCATAAAGTCATAAAGACCACAGCAATCAATTCTAATTACAATCTCTATACACAATCAGAAAATACATCAGCAAAAACAGTTCTACATGCTTAACATCTGTTCATTAATCACTAATCACTAATCACTAGGATTAGAGCACTTTAACTTAAAATGACATCAAAAATTCTTCCTTAGAATAAACTAAAACTAGGATTCAGAGCAAATATTAATGATTTATCCTGATCAGGAAGACAAACGAAGGCATTACTCGAGGATCCAGGGATCAAAATGTAGCTTAAAAAGCAGAAAAAAATGTGCTGAAATCACAAATAATTGATTGTTTATAATAATAAATAATAATAATTAATTGGAACTATTTTCTCTTGCTTGAGCCTTTTTATTAAAACTGCCAGCTTCATCATCTTTAGCTGCTGTTCAAGCTCCTGTTTTCTCTCCTTAAACAGAGACAAAGACTAAGCAGTGAGGATCAGAGACGAGACCGGGTTCTGGTTCTGGTTCTGGTTCTGTGATGGAAGCACAAACAGAGGGTCTTACCCATATATCAGCCTTAGTGGTGATGGCTTTCCCTGCGTACAGGTTGATCATCTCTGGAGCTCGATATGAAAGCGTTGTGTACCTGAGACAAACAGGAAGTGATGTCATGGTTCGAGCACTGACGCGTCGAGGAGAGAGCACATCTTCCTCATTGTTTTTATATTTAACTCAGTTTGGATCAATTATTTGACATTTAAATTTAAATTGACCCATAACTGGGTCCAACCGTCTGGTTTCTCTCTGTAGGTTTCGTGTTTCTGCAGAACTCTTTCACTCCGGGTGAAAACTTACTTCTTGATCTCGTCCTCCACCGCCGTCACGCCGTCCTTCAGCGGCAGCAGGACTTTGTGAGTGGCGCTGCCGAAGTCACACAGCACGTAGTGACCCTGGTCGTTCAGGAGGATGTTTTCAACCTTTGTGAAAAGAGTAAAAACATAAAAGGTTTACAGATGAATATATGAAAAACACTAAATGATTTCCACGTGTCACGTGTTTAAAACACAACTGTATGACAGAAGAGGCTACATGTTTGTTTTTTAATAAAATCGAGGAGCAACTGCTGGATGTACGTCTGCAGCCGGATTCAAGATGGCCGCCACAGCAAAGGGATTTTAGTAACGCCACAAACGACTTACAGTTTAACTCATTTTTACCTCGTTTTAGTCGTGGTAGAAGCTAAAACTGATTCAACTTTTATTCTGACAAAAGTCAGTCGTCTTTGTTAGCAAAATATCTCATGAACCACTAAAGTAACTAAGTACAAATACTTTGTTACTAGGGCTGTGTATTGGCAAGAATTTGGCGATTCGATACATATCATGACAGAGGGGTCACGATACGATATATCCCAATATATTTCGATACTGTAAACAAGGCGATATATTGCGATATTTTTGGTCCAAAAATTCTATTGAATAAAAAATAACCATTCAGCTATCGGAGCATGAAGCTAATGTTTACTCACAATGCTAATGCTACTCTTACTCTCTGGAGCTCAAGAGGCAGAGG